CTTTCGCCCAACGAGCACCCCCAACATCCGCATGCAATGCTGCGGCAGGGCTACTAAGCAGGGTGGGACTTTGGCACTGGGTGCTGACTGTGGCCTTGACAAGGCGGAACAGACACCAGAGGTCAGACAAGCTTTCGGCAAAGAACTACGCTGTTTCTGTTTGTGGACCTTTCTATGTGTCGTTTCCACCAGTGATGTCGTCTCATGATTTGTCCATGGAACAGGCCCGACAATTTGAGCTGGCCCATCGCAGTGAACGCTTGCCTTTTGCCGGCCTGGCTGAGCAGGGAAATTGCCTGACTTGCATTGAAAGAAAGGTTAGTGGCCCTTTCTGGCTAAGGTAGTGCGGCAAACCTATGGCAAACCGCTTTGCAATTAGCCTTCCAATCTCACAACCACATGGCGGCCTCAACAGCATGCGAACGTGTGAGGAAGTGGCAGTGCGGCTCCTACGTACTTGCTTGTCTTACACAGAATGTCAAGCACATTCCAGTAGCCACAGCAACTGAATGCCACACTCCTTTGGTTTGTTTCCGGCATTGTTGTTTCTTCACTTACCTTTCATCATTTCAAGGTGAGACTCTCCAGAATCCACATATGACTTGCCTTGATCGCGATTCAAGGCTCGCCCTGGCACTTCTGGGCAAGCGACCGATAAAGGGGAGCTCCCCAGAGCCTTGGACAATGAGCAATTCGGAGGTACATGAAGAAACATTCATTGCAGGTGCGTCGGCTAACTCATACTGTTTGTAGGGTGCACTGCATTTAGCAAATGCGGCAAATGCGTGCTTCAAACTACAGATGTACACCGTACACCCACGTTGATGGTTTAATTGCTGTTCCGATGAGTTTCAGCTTGATGATGAGTCACCATCCGTCTATCGCAGTGGCGAACCCATGACTGTGGCAAGATTGGTCCATCACTTGACTGAGGAAGCCTTGGCAAGCCAAGCTTGGGCCTTATCAAAAGACCCAGCGGCAGCAAGGCTGCTATGCAAAGTGCTATGCAAAGGGCTTGTCAAAAACACCAATGTGATATGCAAAGTAATGCATGCCTCACAAAGTCACCGACAAATGGATGATCAGCGATGTGAACCAGATTCCTGCACCGGTTGTGCGAAACTGAGTGGGGCTTCGTGTGGAAACATGAATGGGCTACGGAAAAGGACTTATAATATATATGTTTACGGAATCTTACAAACGTGACATGCCCAGCTAAACAAACAACACCAGTACTACCACATCTACCAGAGACAGATTGACATGGACATGGCTCTGAGTAAACACCTATCCCACCAAACTATCGTAGGTTGAAAACCCTTGTAGAGGAACCTGTTTTTTCATGTTTTTGTTCGGCGGTCAACCAGAATAGATACTCGGGAATGATGATGTAAATATAAACGGCTATATTTAAGCGGCCTGACTTTCAGGCCATCCAAAGCCGGGCTGGCCCAAGTGAACCAACAAGCAAGGGAGCTCGCCATTCTGGCCACTCAAAAGCTTGACCATTTTGAGGCATGGATCCATTTCTTTCTAGTAGAGGAGTGGGCTCCCGCCCAAGAGCTAGCAGCTAGCACTTTGGTGGGAGCTTGCGCTTCGGAGAGGAAAGTGAGAATTCTTGGTGAATGCTCCCTCTTCTTCCTTCAAGAACAATTGCCGTGAAAACTGGTTTCGTTTCGAAAAGAAATGAGATGAGTAGGAACGGCATGAAATAACTCAATCAATTCCAAAGCTGTAGAGTCAAGTGAGTCAAGTGAGCTGAAGTCTCATCGTTGTTTGCAAATTGAGGCCCTACCATTGGGGAAAGGATGTTGGGGAAGTACCGTCGTTTTTCACCGTTTGCTTGCGACTCGAGACTTCTTTGCTGAACTGTGAGTAACATGTGCACACCCCTAAGTAAGTTAAAGATCACCATGGCCAGTTGCCAGTAGTAGTCATGAGTCCACGGGCACCAGGCACGCGAGCTGGCGAGTCTTTTGTGGTCATTAGCGACTTGGATTTGATTTGTACCGCAATTGTATCTTTGGGCTTGTGCTTGCCTGACACGAGAACACAACGGACCGACGGCACCATTGGCAAACCACACTGGCGACAACTTGATGGAATTCATCATGATCCTGCCAATCTCCCCTTGATAAGGTATCGATTGCTTATGTGGACAGGGCACTGCTTGACGGCGCATCCACCCGCCTTTTGGAGGATCGCCTTCATCAGCTCTCAGTACGAGAGCTGGCCAGTTTGGCGATGGCGTTGGCAGCTTGGCATTGGCTTTGTCACTGCCGTGCGGCAAGCAAATTATGTGCAATATACCTTAGATTGGCGTTTTTGGCCAAGGCTAGCAGCAGCTTTGACCACAGCACAGGCGAGCTGTGCCTCGTTGCATTTCAAGCGCTACAACGGGAGATAGCAGCACGAGCTGGTCAAATTTCTCTGCCAGCAGACTCCATGATGCTGCAGGCCAGCTCAGGTGAGGAAGGGAAAGATATGAAAAGGTTGGTGACCCTTTGTTGCCTACCACATTTTCTAACAGGACCTTGCTGACCGCCTTCTTGACATTCTTTGGGCATGCAAGTTTGCTGGCTACCTGAGCACAAACATGCTGTCGGCTTGCAGGACTGTGGCTCCTGTGTAGGTGGTGGGGCACTGTAAATCAGGCAAATGCCAAGCTCACTATTTCACTCCAATGTCAGCCCGATTTTTCCTTGTTTTTGACGGCAAAGACCCAGGAGACTGTTGGACAAGATTGCATGTGCCCTTGGACAGCTTCAAGGACAACAGTTGCAATGGGCCACACTAGCAGCTTCGCACCAAGAAGGTGCACCCTTGAACACTTGCGCAACCAGGAGCATCCAGGAATCATTTTTCTCGCTCCTTCCAGGTTGTGATGAAAATCCTGGAAATCCTCAAATCGTAGTCGTCCGAGCCACAGTCTCTCCTAGCTAGAGGACACAGCTAGAAACTCATGGGTATCAACTTAGGATTTTGGTGATAGAAGTGTGGTGCACAAGCCACCATCATTTTGGCAGGCCTGACACGTGATGACCACATTTGCAGATTTAAATGGTTTCTTTACAAAGCATGGTGTTGGATTGCAGCCTGGAGTCCAGAACGGCACTCAAAACCCCTTTGACTCCAATTGAGACCAAGCACAGGTGGACGACGGGAAGGATGAACCAGAGGACGATGCCCTTCGGCTGTCGCAGTTCACCCAGGTGGAAATGAAGAAAGCCTCAAAGTGAGTGCAAGGGCTCAGTTGAGCTGTTCAATACAGGTGTGGTTGGTATTGATTGGTGCTTGTGCTTTTCATGTTTTATGTGTTGGTTCACCCATTTCCTGCCTTGTAGCTCCTCATAGGCTGCTAGACACTACGTCGCAGAGAGTCCTTGTGGGAACGTGATTCCCGAGCCACAGCCAGCCATGGTTTTACTCAACTCTGGGTCAAGCTAGCGGTCAGGTTGCATGCTCGTTGTGCGAAGTCGATCAGCGGCCTGTTCCAAAACAAGTGCACCTGGAACTGGCCATGTTCAAGCAGTGGCAATGTGCGTCTATGAAGCTATGTGGCCCGATATCTTCAGGTCACAAGGAATGCCTCTTCAAGGATGAAGTTCACAAAGATTCCAGGTGATCAGGTGCAATCAAGAAATTGCCACCTGCAAGAAGGGTTTGGAGCGGCGGAGCGCATCACACCTGCTGGACAAGATGTCAACCTCATTTTTGCGTGACTTTCTTGAACATATATACTGAACTAGACATTGTAGGTAGGTTGTGTACTTAATTAGTGTGTGTGTGTTTTCATTCTATTGAACTATGTTTTGTTGATTGTTTGTTCACTGTGATTGTTACAGCACGTGATTGACCCCATATGAAGGTCTCCAAACAACAGAAGGGGTTGAGCCCTCCGCTTGCACAGCTTGGGGACGGAAGTTGTTCAATTTGTATGGATCTTGGCTCACTCTTTTGTTGTTCTAAACATTCTCACTAATATATGTTACTCTCAACGTTCCAAAGAGGTTCTGTTTGCACTTATGTGTGCTTTCACGGAGTAACCACATTTGATTTGTCACCAGCTCGTATAGAAGATCTTTTGTCAGTTCCATGAAATGAGGAAACAGATGCAGATGAAGCAGATTCAGTCCAACCTGTTCACTTACAGTTGTGCAGCTGTTGGCTGTGCCATATGGCGCGACTCTGTGCAACTATGTAATTACGTGAAGATGTCCATAGCAAGAGCTTGGAGGTGGGCAGTCTGAAGTATTAGATTCACATGTGAAGCTACATCAAGCATGTTGGAACATGCTTGCACCAAGCAGGCCCCATGTTGCCCTGACGCCAACATTGTCCCCGGAGGCAATGTGCTGAGCAGTCTGGCACGGTCTGCTTCCTGGAACTTGGCGCTTCAGATGCTCAGCCCTGGTAGAGCAAGGTCCGATGCTTTTCGGGATCCATGTCGTCATTGACTGTAGATGGCTTGAAATGGTCATTATTCATTGCGTCGCGTTACTTTCACTTCCTGGTGATGCAACTGGCCACATGTCTTTTGTCAACAGGCATCAAGCTGGACATTTTGCTGATGTGGTGGGCATGGCGTTTGCCATCACTGCCTGCGAAAAGGCCTTCCATTGGGAGTGGGCACTTCAGCTGCTTGCGCAGCGGTGATAAAAAGCTTCAGCTGAACGCTGTAATTTACTAGTAGAGCTATCAGTGCCGAGGTCAGCAGATCATTGATTGTGTGTTCCCATTCATGTCAGTGTAAATCAAAACGCATATTGACAAGGAAAGCATGTGCCAGACATAGTGAAGTTGTCTTTGTAATCACTCGGAGGCGCTTGTGAATGAACATCAATGTGGCAAGTTTCCCTGTTGTTGATGCAGAAGGCTACGTTTTCCGCGGATGTTATTACTTTCAATTCTACAATCAGTGCCTGTGAGCAGGCTGCCAAATGGCAATACGCAACACACCTGAAGAATCAGCTTGGTTCAGCCGAATGTGATCACATGCAATGCAACGATCAGCGCGTGTGAAAAGGCATTTGCCTGGCAGATGGCCTTGGACTGTCACAGACTTTCCTGGATTCAAAGACTGGCTGATGTGATCGCTTATACTGAATTTGCTTTTGCTTGCCCTAAAGTTAAGTGTCAGCAGGCCGTTCACCTTTTGCAAGACCTTACTTGGGTATGCATGACAAAGAAGGAGGTGAAAGGCATAATCTACGGTATAATGACCATAGGTTTCAGGCTGGAGATTTTTGCAAGCGGAATCTAACTGGTTGTCGATCTAAAGGTCCTAGTCAGCAGTGTGTATGACGATGACCCGGAACATATCAAAATCTCATTTGGCAAAAGTTTTTTCTCGAGTTGGCGAAAGTAAATTTTTTTTGGCGAAAGATCTGGCGAAAGATTACATATGTACTGTTGTATGAATGTTCATTTGCTTTCTGAACAGCTGGTGGCAGTGACTCAGAAGCTAGATGAGCTGTGGAAGTTAGATAACCTGCTGCTGCTGCGGCTGCTACTACTACTACTACTACGACTACCACTACCACTACGACTACTACTACTACTACTACTATTCCTGCTCCTGCTTTGGGGGGTGGCTTTGCCACAAAACTCTACCCCGCAAAAGGCGAAAGTTTGGCGAAAGTTCAGCTCAAGATTGGCGAAAGTTCACCCTGCCACATCTGACCCCCAGCCCATTATGAGTAAGGTTGAGTGACCGGCTACTACAGTGATTCTGGCAATTTTGATTCTTGCTGACACCCAGGAGAAACAAAAGAGACGTACAGGGTGTCAACAGTTAAGTAGAAGACACATGCTGACAAACAGTGAAGTTTCTATTTTGTGTTTGCCAGTAAAGAAGAAGCCATTGACGTGAACAAAACACAACATACATGGCACACATAAATACAACGTACTTCGGCGAAAGATAAAACGCAGGAAGGCGAAAGTTTGGCGAAAGTAATTTTTTTTTGCGAAAATGACGGGTCCCGGATAAAGGAATTTAGATCAACTCCCAACTGTTGCAAGCAGAATTGTGTTTAGGAACTACTGTACATTTATGCAAGTGGAATCGAACTTTTTGTAAACTGTGCTACACGCCATGACCCCTGAAACACTACCTGCCCCCTGAACAGTTTCAGTTGCGCGGAAGCCCTGAACCTGCAGGTGGCAAGGCATGTTGCCAGATGTGAACCTTTTGATACCTTTTGATTTCCGTGCTCGGAGCTTGGAGACCATCTGATTGGGCCTTGAGGATTCCATGCCAAAGAAACTTCTCGTGGGACTTTTCATTTCAGACCGAACAGTCCCCCCCAGTGCTCATTCCTGCGGCACTTTGTACTGCAGAAAGAGGCAGTGAAAGTCACTGGCTGGAAAAAAGGGGCCGACGGTGACAGGGCTGAATTTGAAAGAAGCTGGATCCCTTTGATAGACGCTGACTATGTAATAGCCAGAGCTGTATATTTTCGGCCTGCTGAGCAGGCTTTGAATCCTCCCCGGCAGTGGCCACTCATGGAGGATACCCAACATGGTCGAGGTTTTCTCCACCGTTGCTTGATGCAATATAATTACAGTAGCTTGAAGGGTTGCGTTTCTGCTCTAATTGCCATTGGATTCGTCAGTATGAAATCAAGGGGGGTCAAGGCTCCCTATAAGATATTTTACCTATGGCAAATTGGCTGTTGCACCTCCTATTTTATAGAGAAATCAGGGTTTAGAGAAACCTTGTGTAATTTCAGAGGGGGTTAAACCTGAGGAGTATGCTTCTATATGTGTTTTATGAGCATGAACCCCTCATGTGTCTCCACTGCCAAACTTATAAGTTCGCGTGGGTCGTGGGTGTCCTTTTTTTGCAATCTCCCCACCAAAACTAGACGACGGATGGCCCGAGAGTGTTTAGGTGTAGAGCTATTCTGGCGTAAAGTGTGCTTGCATGATGATGAAACTGTAAAGCAAAGAGAGGTGGGAGAGGGTGAAAAAGAAAGTCAAAGAGCGTGGGATTAACAAACAGTTTACAGGTGCAGCTTTACAACAAAAATTGTACGGATTCAGGTCCTGTCCCGAAGAAGTCTGACAGCCGGTATTTAGGTCTTAGAGCCGATGTTTGTGCAGGTTTGTGTCTCTGTCCCGCATGTTTCCCGTTCGCCCGTGGCACGAACTGATGCAAGTGTGCTTTCCACCAAGGCTGCGTAAATCTGCTCCAGCGACATCACAGATGTAATTTATTAAGCCCCAACCATGTAACACCAAGCCTCGTGGACACAGCCAACCTTCCCGCTTCCCAGCGACACGCCGAATTTACACCAGCATGTTTTCCTTCCCCCAAGCCGTTTACACCAAACCACGTTTTACACCAACCACCGTTTACACCAAACAACGGTTTACATCAACCGCTGTTTACACCACACCACGGCTTACACATTTTTCCGCAGTTCTTGACACTGGGCACCCATGATCTCCGCAGAGGGTTCACCGCGCACACGTTCAAATCACAATTTTCCACAGTGTTTGCTCAATCTCCGCAGAGGGTTTTTGAACTCGTAATCTTCCCGCTGTTTTTGACACTTGACACGCACGATCTCCGCAGAGCTGCGTTTGGACATTTTCGTGACCACTGCACCCGGCCTAAAGAGAGAAATACAATATTTAAATAGAAGGGAGAAGACAGAGAAGGAGAGAGAGACCGAGAGAGAGAGAGAGAGAGTGAGAGTGAGTGAGTGAGTGAGAGTGAGAGTGAGTGAGTGAGTGAGAGTGAGAGAGATATGAAGATGAGAGAGATATGCAACTGTGAAGGCGAGAGGGAGCAACCACTCTTTTTAAGCTTTACTAAAGTAGTCTACGGCATGCTCCATTTGCTTGTGTATCATCAGTATTCGCTTGTGAACGAGATAGGGCCCCCACATAAAAGAGATACTTGCTTGATTACCCTACTAAAGTAATTAGTTGAGTGAGATTTGCTACTAAAGTAGTCTGAACGAGATACTGTGACATGACCTCATACTTAAGTAGTCGAAAAGAGATAGGGCCCCCACATAGTAGATTGTGTATTTGAGTTTAGTACCAAATAAGAGGGTTTTGTAGATGTCAGATATGAAGATGAGAGAGGAGGAGGAGGAGGAGGAGGAGGAGGATCATGATCATGATCATGTGTTTTCTCCTTGTTTTAAAGAAGAACCCTTCACTCAGGCGCTCTTGGGAAACATGAAATTACATAGTAGGTAAATGTACTGTATGTAACATATACTGTAACCAACATAAATTATATTGTTTTCTAACGTTCCCCCTTTGTCCCTTTGGGAATGGCCTGTTTGTGTCACATTCTTCGAACCAGGCCGAACCAGTTGGGGGCCACGGTTCTTTGGAAATTTGTAAAGCGATTAGTAGGGCCAGGAGCTACTAGTAGTAAGGCCAGGGGCCCCTAGTAGCTTCTTGTTCCTAGCAGTAGGGCCAGGAGCCCCTAGTAGCAAACTTAAGGAAATTATATAGGTGAAAAGAAAGAATTGGATGGAAAATTTAAAAGATTAGGTACGAGGAGGGAACAACCTATCTAATGAGATCGTGCCGTGGGAAAAAAAAGATTTCAGTGTTATTCAGTGTCCCTCTGAGTGGGGTCAGGACGGGCAGTTTTATAGAACATTTGGCCTGGATAAGGGCACCAATTAGAGGTCAACACGTATCACAATATAGACTTCTATGTTTGGTCAGCATGCCATTGATTTTATAACATTCTATGGTGTTTAGGTGGTCCATCCCCAATTCGTATCTATAAAATCCCACACCCTCCCCATATTAGATCCTCTATTCATTGCCGGCGTTACTCCAGAACCGTCAGAGCAATTTATACAGGTTGTTTTGACAAGGCCTATAGACCAGGAGAAACTACAGACCAGAACCTGGTTGCTGGCTCATCCTTTTCATATATTTTAATCACTGCTGCAATGCCGTACAATGTAATAACAGTGTCCCACGATGTTTTGAGCTGAGGTTTGGACATTCCAACATCTGGCTTAGTACTTCTAGCCAAGAACCACAATGCCCTGTACGATCTCAGGCTGACAGTTTTGTGCGGTTATTTTCGTGCTTGCCCACCCCATAGTTTTCAATTATACTTGTTTCTGTGTCACGCCACTTAGACTGCATGACCATTCTGAAGGCTACAGTTGGCAATTGGAGACCTGCAACGTGAGTACTGTGTCCTTGCTCATGGGCGTTGGCCCGGGGAAGCCCGAAAAGATCTGCGGAGCCGAGAGCCTTGGCCGAAACAAACGCTGGTGGCGGAACACAAAAGACGAACAAAAACATTTGTACAGTATCATCATCAGCACTGCTGAACTGCTTGGCGTTGGAATTAATGCTTTCTGATTCGCTACTATAGTTAGACCTGCCCGCTGTGGTGCAGCCTTCCATGGCCGCAGCAGTTTAGCTTGGCTCGCCCTAGTTCACATGAAAGAAATCGACATCGAACATGTTACCATGGCCTGACACGACATCTTACACTATGCATGGATACATGCAACAATCGTAAATCGTAACGTAGTCGTAAATTGCAGATAGACATATAATATATCATATAATTGTACAGTACATGATCACAATTTTATGAGAGAGAGAGAAGCTGAACTCAGAAGTGTTTCGCTTGTACTTGCTTGTGCTCCGTGCCTTCAAGGTAATTTGCTGCAGAGTGCAACTAGGCATCAGTTCTATAAGAAGCATAGATCTTCGACGATCTTCGTGCGAGCAGGCTGATAATGTGTCATTTGCAGCTAGTTAGTTAAAACAGGCATGGCAACCAAAATTATCCAAAGTTATCCAATATTGAGTACAGTAGCTGTTTGTCAGCCCATACCAAGTAAAGTAAAATTTATAGGACACGTTTACTTTCACAGGTCGTGGTTGGATCGACATTGGGTTCGAGCAATGAGAGTTTGCTTTGCAGTTGTTTGCTGCAGAGTGCGAGTATGGGGTTTGAGCTGAGCGTCAATGGCAAAGTCACTGGCGCAGAGCAAGTCCATCAAGTCTTTATTTTTGACTCGAACGCCTCAGGAGATGCTGGAGCTTTGTCACCAGATTCCCAAGGAAACTTTGATTGGATTCTCAGCGAAGCTGATGATCCGCAGCTCGAAGCAGAGTCACGGCTCTTACGCATGGAAGCGGCTAAATGGAGTGCTGCTACATGTTTGCTTGGTGGCTACTGCATAAATGGTGAAATGCCAGTGCTGCGAGTGGCACAGACGATTGAGGGCACTCGTCTTCTCCTCCAGGTTGAGCCATCTGAAAGAGCAACAGGATACAAAACAGATTTCATTTTTCACAAAGCAAAGGCTGGCCTGTCCCAAGTCGTATTTGATCTCGCAGAGCATCAACCAGTCTCAGTTTTGATAGCTGGAAATCCATACAGAGTGGGTGGCAACTTCAGCAAAGGTGGTGTGGTTGGTGTGGAAGAGTCCTTGTGTGTGCAATCAACTTTACACATATCGTTGAGGCGAGCGGCCAAATTGGCAGAAATCATTTTATTGAACTCTCCCAGAGGGTCACACGGTCCAGATCAGCCCAAGGCTTGGGACCCTTACATTCCTGAGCAGAGCGCCGTCATCAGTCCAAATGTGCAATTTTTCCGTCGAGGACCTGAACATGGATTTCCCTTTCTCAGAAACCCCGTTGAAGTGGCGGCCGTGATCACAATCGCCATGCCCAACTGCAATCCGCTCTTGGTGGATCACCCTTTAGATGTGCCTGAAGACCCAAAAGAACATCGGAGACTGTTGAAAGCAAACATTGCGGCTGGGCTGGAAGCTGCTGCTATGAGGTCTCGTGTTGTGGTTATTCCAGAACTTGGATGTGGACCACAGCAGAATGACCCAAAAATAGTTGGTAGTATTGTTGAATCACTACTGCTTGATCGCTTTTATAGTGCCTTCTCTGAAGTTCATTTTGTCGTCGGGGACACTTTTCGGACCTCGTGCTCTAGCCTGGACCAGAAGGCTGGAATTCCACAATTTGCCACGACTGATGGTGAGTTGCTGGCCCGCGCTCCAGGGCAAGAGAGTTCGCCAATCCCAGAGCAACAAGATGCACCACCCAATCCAAATCGGGTAGACCCAGGCACGCTACTGCGTCGCCATTCTTCGCCGCCGTTGCCTCCCTTCGAGGCAACACAAACATCAAGCAGCACGAGTGTTCGGCGACATTCTTCTCCACCCTATGCTTCCCCAATTGCGGAAGCCCAGGCACTGGCAAACGAAAGCTTGGCATCGGAAAGTTCTGCTAGCTTGGAGTCAGC